CTCTGTTTCCCATCACCAAAGAAATCTGAGTTGGTCAGTTTCTCTATAATGCACAAATGCAGCAAAACATGCTGAATGGCTTTGCTTAACTCTCAAAGACTGAAGAAATGTTTAAAATTTGGTGAAATTTGGATTTAAAGGTTCCATAGAATGCAATTATTCAGTGTTTTAAAATGTTCTTTTTGGCCTACATAAAAAAGTATGTGACTTTGCTTGAGGCAAAAAATGCCCACTTGCTTTAGATATCAACAACAACAGAAAGTAACTTGTAGTTATTAGCTCACTATGCAACTTTCAATGTCAGATAATTTGACTTCAACCGTCAAAAAGTGGATAAAATCACACAGCATGGCTACTTACAGGTTGCTGTTGGGGCTGGGATGCTAGTAAAGTTTAAACTGCTTGTCTCTTCAGTGTGAAATGCTGAGCGATGCTGCTCGATACTTTCCAAGGTTTGAGAAATTGTCTGGAGTCAAATGTGCAGAGCAAACTAACAACTTTGAAATAAAGTCAGAGAGATCCTGTCAAACAGGTGGGAGCTAAAGTGGGATTCCTATTTGCCAGCTTATTGTGCAAATTTTCTGTTCCACCTTAAATGGTGCAGCAGTTACATTATGGCACCTGTATAAGCTATAGCATTTAAGGTGGAAGGTAACATTAGATTAAGAAGCTGGCGAAAAGAAAGCGAACTTCAGCCTCGTTTAAAGATGAATAGCAGTTATGCCCACTCATGCGGACATCCATTCACAAATTGGAAGGGTACAATTTTTGCAAATAGTCAGCCATTTCCTTTGCTGTTGCTCCGTTGCTGTTGTTTCCTGCTTGGGCTAGAACATAGGATCGTGTATGTAAATAAAATAAAATGTCAAGACTGTTACTTAACAGTTTAGGATTTTGGAATTGGCCTGTTTTACCGCCCTCTTTTACAAATGCAGGATGGCAACTATGCCAATGTAAATATAATTTTCTGTTCTATGGCATCTTTAAAGAGTGCAATCTCTCCTCATATTTATACCAGTTTGTTTTATCCTGTGTATGGGACCAATTGTTACCTGATGGTGCTAAATCAAGTAAAAATAAAGTATTTGCAGCAGCTATTGTCACAACTACCACTTTTGTTATTTAACCACTCCTTAGCAGGGTCACCTAATGGAAAGTGACAGCATTAGATTTAAAATTGAATTATGCGAACCACTTTATTGAATTAACACTGACTAGAAGCGCCCTGCAAATCTGCTTAGTGCCTACAGGAAAGATCACTGGCAGAGGACTCTAAAGGTGTGATTGGCCATCTGAGAGATTATGATTTATCGCAATTGAAATCTTATCCTCATGCAAGTGATTATTCGTGCAAGACCATGAGAGCAGATCTATGGCATGTTATTGAGCGAGCGTGGTTTTCGAGGCAGGGTTCTCCCAGGAGGGCCTTTATGGGGTGGTGATTGTTGTCTGCAAAGATTGAGTAGCCACTGCAAACAGTTTTTGCTGGAAGATGGGGATGTTGAGCTGGACATGTCAATGCTTCAGCCTCTCAGACTGCTTTGCCATGCTGGACAAGTTAGAAATCTGACACTAGAGCACTTAATTGAATGAGTCAGTTGCTTTGAATACTTTGGCTGGGCAAAATTAAAATTTGACTGGACAGTGTCCACCACAGTCCAACATTAGTGTTGACCTTGACCTTCTGCTGCTTGCTCAGCTGAGTATACTAAGCATGCATCAGTATTGACTTTCTTGGCAGAATTTGATAGCTGATAATTAACATCCTGTTGTGGCTGATAACAATAACTGGTTATATAAAATGTAGAGACATATAACACATGCATTAGCAGTGGATAATGTATTAATTAAACAAAAATAATTTATTAATTAAATGGCATCATATAAAAGTATCACATAAAGTGCTTTAGAAAAACTAAAGTGACAGATATTTGTCCTGTTTATAATATTGTTATAAAGCATCATTTTCAAATAATAGAACTCACAAGGCCTAGTTAAGAGCAACTGCATCAGTCAACGTAAGATTTATGTAGAAGATTATCTTGTAAATGATAGTTTCTATCTACTTTTATATTACCTTAATAGAATTATATAGAATTAAAATGTGGTGTTGTTGACTAGGCCTTTGCCTTGTAAATTCCTTGATAGTTCATAATTGTTAAAAATAGACCAAATGTTTGTCACTTTAGTTTAAGGCCCTTTATACAATACAATGTCATTTACTTCATAAAACTTCTTATGTCATCTTGCAATTACTGGGATGAGCCGTTCATAAATACTTGAATACTGATTTATAAATACTTTATTTATGAATGTTTTAGAGCTGCAACTAATGATTATAATTAGATAATCTATCAACTACTTCTTAGATGAATGAAAAATTATGTAACAATTATGTTCCTTGAGACATCTTCACATAAGAAATGTATTTTTTAATAGATATTAAAAAAAACTTTTTATTAGTTTTGAAGTGTCCAAACAGTTACTAAAATGCATTTAAAAAACCTTTGTATTAGTTCGTCATTTATCATTTATATATTATAGTAATTGTATTGTATTAATTGTATTAATGTTCATGGCTGGCATGAACAACTGATACGTTTGTGATTTTGCATATTTTACAGAATTTAAATATTAAACATCATGCAGAAAGCATCTTAATACAGATCAGTGACAGGAACTTCATCTAGTGCAGTATTTTTATCCTCCCCAGGATGACTGAACGTTCTTTCTTCCAACATGTAGCCTAAGGTTACTTTTACTGGTCTCTCATTAGCCACTTAGGCTAGTAAGTTAAAGCACTTACCCACTATTGAATAGAGCTTGTTGGAACTCTGCTGAGAAATGCTACTACCACTTTAAGACATCATGCATTGCACACAGTGACTTTTGTGGGTCTTGCTTTCTTGAGTTAATCTCTCTTTACTGCCACCTCTGCAAATGATTTCCTCTTATGATGCAATGAAATGACAGAAGCCGTATTGGCCTGTGTATATACTGTATTAAAATCTGTCTGAATTAATGCTCGTGAATATTATGAGGCGCTTTTTTAAGTAAACAAGGTGTCAACAATAAACAATGCACATTGAGAATTTTTTTCTTTTACTAATTTTTATAACTAATGAAGTCAGCTTTGTCCCTCAGCCCTACTTTTGTTATGAATTCTCAGTGAAGATAGTCTTCAAATAAGTTTTGGTGCAGAATGCGTAAAATAGGTTGAAACTCTAAAAATGAGTCACTGATTAGTTTTACAGTTCTATGACATAGCTAAATCTGACAATAAAACATTTATTGCAAATATTTACTTTTTATGTAAATATTTTACATTATTTAACCAAGCCAAGGCCTGCCAGCAGGCTCAAAGGTTTATGGCACACTTTTATAACCTAAGAATGGCTCAACCAGTTATTATGGATGTCCCTGTAGTTACTAAATAATAAGCGATAGTATGTAACAAGCCTGGAATTTAAAGGGGTTTATTTCCAGAGCCGTGTACAGTAGTAGAGGAGTAGGCGTCTTACTAGTGTGTGAAGGCTAAAGATAGAGTGCTAAATTATCAGTTGACTGATAACTATGAATGATAGTTATAACTGTCAACTGTAATAATAATAATAATAATAAATCACTTGTCTGTCTATATAATTAACAGTACTGTGCAAAAAGTGTGTTTTTGCATATAAAATAACTAAATATCATTAGAATATCATTAGAATAAACAAAAATGAATACAGTAAAAGTAACAGGAATTGTCTCCTTTCAAAAAAGTAGTACATATCTTGGTTTGGATTTGGACTTTAGTCTAAAATCCTTTTGCTTTGAATGATTCTGTACCATAATTATGCTTGTTTTAGTAAAACAAATGATTTAACGTTCCACAGACTAAAACTCTTTGTGCTGCTGTAGTGACGTGAAAACATGGGACAGTATTTATTTAATACATTTTTTTATTTAAAGATGAAATTCATGATAATTCTCAATATTTTAACTTTACTTTAAACAAAGTTCAATTCACTTAAAAATACTTTTTGTTATAAGTTGAAATGTAGGGGTTAGGGTTTGGGACAGACACCTCCCAACAGAAAGTACCCTATAAATGATGATTTTGTATATATTTAGTTTTTTTGCTCTCTCAATGACTTCCTTGGACTTAAATAGATCATAACATAGTACTTCCACATATCCAAGGTCTGAATACATAATTGTTTTATTTATTTATTTATTTTACTTTGAGGCTACAGTTTGGACTAACTCAGTGAAACGATCCATTTAATTTTTGTTTTACTTTGTTTTTACTTTATTGGCTGCACCTTTATATTATTCCTTTCCCTCAGAAACGTTCATGCTGTTCATTTTTTGTGACAAATCATGTTTTGATACATGCATGATTTTTTTTCCTCTTTCTTAATTAAACAGTGTATAGAAATAGCTACCTGTAAATGTAAACCACAAGGGCTTCAGTGTTTTGGTCTGGGTTTTTTTTTACCATTATTGGGTTGGCTTAGCAAGATGCTAATGTTCACCTCATTCTCTCGCATCTCAAACGCAGGACGCACAAAGACTGGTTACTTTTAGCCTTTTAGAGAAGGCAGATGTTTCAGCAGTGGAGCTGAAGGAGAGAGAGAGAGAGAGCAAGAGAAGGAGAGAAGCAGTGAGAGAGAGAGAGAGAAAGAGAGAGGGGAGGTAGAAAGCGGAGAAAAGAGGGGAGAGAGTCGATGAAAAATTTAAGTCCTGTTAGTGAAGACATGAGCAAGCACGCGTGCAGAAGAGAAGGAGAGAGAGATAGAGAGAGAGAGACATGGAGAGAGGAGGAGAGAGGAAGTGAGAGGGAGGTGAGGCCTGAGGGAGGGAGGATGGGAAAATGTAGAGAGAGTATATAAAGCGGCGGGGGGGTGCAGGGGGGTGGAGGTGGTTTACAAGGAGGAGAGAAGCGAGGTACAGGGAAAACGAGGGAGGGGCCGTATGGAGGGGAAAAAAGCAGGAGAGGGAAGGGGGCTGGTAGGGGATTTGGAAAAGCGGGTAAATAGAACCCAGACGGCACCCCCTCTTTCTCTGCCTGGAGAGTCAAGTATGCTTGCCCCCGAGAGAGAGAGGGAGAGTTACAGAAAGAGAAAGAGAGAGAGAAAGAGAGAGTGTGTGTGAGAGAGAGAGAGAGAGAGAGAGAGAGAGAAACAGAACAGCGTGGAGGAGAGAAAGTCTTGCAGCAGCCTCTCTCCTCTGCCTGCCCTTATTACTTGATGGAGCTGTGCAGCTAGCAGAGAAACAGTGTGGAATATTTGAGACTGTTGCTGAAGGAGGAACCATTCCTTCAGGATGCCGTCCATGTCTCTGGGGCTGCCGGCAGCACTGGCTGGACGGGCCAGAACCTGGGTGTGCCTGTCCTGCATGTTCTGGGTGAGACGTACTGTCCTTGCCATCTGTAGATGCTGTGGAACACGCTAACCTCCTTTGCTGAGCTGCTGTAGTGTGTGTATGTTTGCCTGTTTTCATACATTTTGTAGGCTTTGTAAGAAAACCAAAGCAAAACTTGGGATAGTTGACAAAATGCTCCGGACTTTGTAAAGTGCTTTTAACAGAAACATTGTTTCACTGTTTATAACCGTATCTTTTTGGTTATCGAGGTTAAGGTTGAGGCTTTCAGGGTTTATCACTATTACATATAGGTAGGTAGATATATATGTATAATACACATGGAACAAAAAACAAAACTGTGGTTGTCATAATTTGTGAACATCTAAGTGTGCCTGTGTGTAGGGCTTTTAAGGCGTGGTGTATGGTGGCGCTGCACGATATGTATAATATACTAGTATTGTAATTATATTGCTAATAGAGTTGTCAGAGTTAATGCATTGATAACGTATTAATGCAGTAAACTATGAATGCCACTGATTCTTTTAATCCACATCAACACTGATCAACTGTAAATCAACTGTAGTAGTGCATGCTAAAGCCCAGCTGCTCATGTACTGTTGCTATGACATCTGCACCTGTAGTCCTCTCATTCAAAGACAGCTTTTAAATGGCAAAGAGTTCCATTTATGCAGTTTATTCTCTTGATAAAACCAAAAGCAAAGCAAAACAGTGCTGATGCCCACAATATCAGTAATATCAGGCACGTTAGCACATGAGGGCACCTTCAGCAGACTATGCTGCACAGTGCTTGCAGGAGAACTATGGATAAATTAATGAGCAGCAGACTAACAAAAGCAATAGCAAAGTGCAAAGCTACAGTTCACTTCACAAGCTTCCACTTTAACAAGAATCCACCAGCTGTATGAACAAGAGTAAGAGCAAGAGTTAGAACCTCAGACTGTATATATGATATGGAAACTGTGTTCAACTTATGTTCACCCTGCATTCACATGATTTATGTTCAAGTTTATGTAGAATTACTGAAGGTAATGAATATACTCTGATGAAGCGTATTTTGTCTAGTCATATACACTGGCAAGAAAAAGTATGTCAACCATTTGGAATTATCTGCATTAATTGGTCTTATAATGTGATCTGTTCTTCATCTAAGTCACAAATATAGACAAACACAAACACACAAGTGCTAAAGCTGATTACACACAAACAATTCTAATCTTTCATGCCTTTATTGTGCACATCAATCAAACATTCACAGAGTTGGTGTAAAACATAAGTGAACACTTGGATTGAAGTATTGGTCAAACCTCCTTTGGCAGGAATAATCTCAAGCAAGCGCTTCCAAAAGCTGCAGTCCTGCTCAGTGTTCAGAAGGAGTATTGGTGAGCTGTATTCTTCGTGTGTCTGGTGTGAACAGCTCCATTGGGTTAAGGTCTGGGCTGCTTTTTTTTCTTTTATTTTTGAGCTGTTCTGTAGTAGATATGCTTAAATGTTTAGGGTCATTGTCCTGTGGCGTCACCCAGCTTCTTCTGAGCTTCAACTGGTAGGCAGCCACCCTCCTTAACATGATCGTCTAGGATATATTGACAAACCTTTCCCCCTTGATGATGGCCATCGTTGCAGGCCCAGAGGCAGCAAAGCAACCCCCGAATCTTGATGCTCCTTCCACTGGGATGTTGTTTTCATGTGCCCTTTTCACCGTTTTGGAGTGTCCGAATGCTCCTTGACAAACTTCAGCCATGCAGCAATGTGTTTTTTTTTGGAGAGTAGTGGCTTCCTCTGTGGTGTCCTGCCATGCTTGTTCATTGTTTTTTGTATAGTAGACTCATCAACAGAGATGTTAAGTCCAGTGATTCCTTCAAGGTGTTACTCTCTGGTTCTTTTTTACGTCATTGAGCATTCTGTGTCATGCCTTTGGAGAGATCTTGGCTGGGGACACACTTCTAGGGAGAGTAGAGACAGTACTATATCATCTACATTTATAGATAGTTTGTCCATCTGTAGACTAATGAATACCTAAACTCTTTGAGATTACTTTATAACCCCGCTCCAGCTTTATTCAAATCAACATTTATTGATTGTTAGTTCACATTGGTAGATGTTTGCTGTGAATAGCAAACTTAAAATGTTTGAGTGGTCAAGTCAAAGTAGTTCTAACACCTCCAATCTCATTTAATTGACTGGACTCCATGCTTGTTAACTCCTGGCTCCAGTTTGCCGTTGTTGAAGTTATTTGTCTAGGGGTTTACATGCTTTTTCCAAGTTACACTGTGAATTTTTGAGAGATGTATTCTACATGAGGACGTATGGGCCACAACAATGCATTATTTTTGTGTTATTAGATTGAACAGATTGTGTTTGTTCTTTATTATAACTTAGATAAACACAAGACAAATGCGATTAATGGTGATTAACAACACAAACTAATGCAATTACTTGTGATGATTATTTTAATTGTTTGACCTCCCTAATTGCCAAATATTGTGATTATGATACACTTGGCAGTATATTAAAATGAACGTGTGAAATAATAATGTGACACGATTAATGGCCTATAAAAATGTACTGTTACATAAATGCTACAATTCATACACAGCCACAAAAAGTTATCTGGAACTGTGATTGCTCAGGATTCCCAACACACAGTAAGACATTGTGATTGGTTAGAGAGTACATTAGCATATTACAGCCTTCTGTGATATCAGGATTATAAAGGCCAATATTCTGATGTTGATTATTGCCCGAATGAATGGATAAAATTTTGGAGGTGAACTTGATGTATATGTCCAAATAACTTTTTCCGCTATGACAAGGAGTCATCACATGTTGTCGATCTATTGCATGTTACATTCTGCAAGTTTTTTTTTTTTTTGATCTGTGTTGGTCTGAGCTGCCTCCCTGGACGACAGCACAAGCGTCCGCTCTCTTTGCACTAGGCCTGCCTGGTCCATTTCTGCGAAGCCCTGAGCTATTTCTGTTCTCTTAGGCTCGTGTATAATTTAATCGGCCGCTGTGTGTTTGCACGACACACAGAGTGCTCCGAGCCTCAAGCCAGAGGCTCCCTGAGCCCATTAGCAAACCATGCAGCCCAGTTCACAGGTCAAATGAGAGCCTCCCAGCACCCCTAGCACCTTCTGCACCAATCCCCACCTCAGCCAATTAGCATCTGGTCTGATCACTCGCATGCTGTGAACAAGAGGGAAGCTATAACTACATACTCTTCTGGCATGTATCCATAGTTTGATATCTTAAAACTAGGCAGCCTGAATTTAAAGTTTCATTCTTTTTTATGAGTTTAAACGAATGAACGAACAAATGCTTGTTTAAACGAACAAGGATCTACAGTTTGTCACAGAGTAGGCCAATTTTACTCATAGGAGTTATAATAGGGTTATCAAAAACATTGATATGGAGTACTTCTTATTTCAACAAGTGGAGAAGTTGTGTTTAAAGAGTGAATTCAGATTTTTTTTATTTGTAACAGGGCTATGAAAATAACATTCAAAATTGAATAGTTGTCAAATCCATGAAAAATATGTATTCAAATGTATGTGTGTGTGGACACCTGACCAACACACCTATATGAGCTTGTTGGGCATTTCATTCCAAAACCATTGGCATTGATGTGGAGTTGGACCCTCTTTGTGGCTATATCAGCCTCCACTCTTCTGGAAAGGCTTTCTCAAGATTTTGGAGTGTGTCTATGGGAATTTGTGCCCTTTTTATAATAGCAGCACTTACAGTTGTCCAGGGCAGATCTAGCAGTGCAGAAATTTCACAATTTCCATTTAATTAAATGGTTAAGATGTAAACAGAGTAATTCAGAGTGGTTTAATGTGAAATGCTCCATTCTAGGGAAACTGAATGAGTCAAAATTATTCACAGTGGGGATGATAGGAACCAGATGTCTGAGGTGTTTAATGCCTGGTTTACAAATACATTGCATAATGCCTGTGTTTTTTCTGTTTGTTTTACGATTATTGTGAACTAGAAGATTTAAGATTTTGGCCTAAAGCATACTTTATGGTGAAGTGGTAGAGGGTGTTGTATGGCAAAATAGTCCCTGTAAAATGTATTTTTAAAAATGTATCAGTGTTATACCATTATCAACATTACATTTAAAAGAAGACACATGCAGGTTCACTGGTTGTTTTGGATGGTAGATAAAATGGCTATATTTGTGCTGAAGACATTATGACCCCTGGTTTCTATCATTATCACTGTAAGGAAATCTCTGATTTGTGAACAGTGGTGATGATAAGAACCAGAGGTTGCAATAACACAAATATAGCCATTTTATTTATTAGTCAAAACAACCAGTCAACCTACACATCTTCTGAGTATTTATATATAATGTTGGTAATGTTAAAATAGTGGTAAACTGACACACTATGTTTTAATGGTTAGTATTCCACCCTAGAATGCTGTGCATGTTCCACTCCACCAAAAAAAATGTGTTTTAGACCACAACCTTCTCAAAACTGTCATTAAACAATGTCTCAGCATCAGGCAGTTATTTATAACCATTTCATGTAATAGCTTTCTGTGAGGGAGATTTTGGAGGCATTAAACACTTCAAACATCTGGTTCCTATCACCACCACTATGAACAATTTTGACAGTAAGTTTCTCTATAACTGAACATTTCACATTAAACCACTCTCAATAACTTTGTTTATATCTTAACAATAGAATCTACAGTAATTTAGAAAAATCATTGGAATTCTCATTCAACAGTGGAAAATCTTATTGATCGCTTCAGAATAGTACTTAAGATTAAGAACTTAAGAGTAGTCCTTTTAAGGAAAAATGGAAAAAGGTAAGACTCAAACTTGTTGATAAAGAATGTAAATCTAATGCAAATTCATTACATAACTAATTATGCTATGTAATACGCTGATTACATTTAAAATTGCATTAGAAAATTAAAAGACTTCATATACTCTCCTGAAAATGTGAACAAGTGCTGAATAGCCGAAAAGCAGCAGCTTTTTTTTCTAGTGTGAGTTTCCTCTTCTTGTGATT